CTGTCTGTTCTCTTTCTTTCCTTCCTTCTTTCCTCCTTTCTTTCTTTCTGTCGGTCTGTCTTTCTTTCCTTTACTTGCCTTGCCTTCCTTCTTTTCCATTCCCTTCCCTTCCCTTCCCTTCCCTTCCCTTCCCTTCCCTTCCCTTCCCTTCCCTTCCCTTCCCTTCCCTTCCCTTCCCTTCCCTTCCCCTCCCTTCCCTTCCCTTCCCCTCCCTTCCTTCCTTCCTTCCTTCCTTCCTTCCTTCCTTCCTTCCTTCCTTCCTTCCTTCTCTTCCTTCTCTTCCTTCTCTTCCTTCTCTTCCTTCTCTTCCTTCTCTTCCTTCTCTTCCTTCTCTTCCTTCTCTTCCTTCTCTTTCTTTCTTTCTTTCTTTCTTTCTTTCTTTCTTTCTTTCTTTCTTTCTTTCTTTCTCTCTCTCTCTTTCCTTCCTCCTTCCTTCCTTCCTTCCTTCCTTCTTTCCTTCCTTCCTTCCTTCCATCCATCCATCCATCCATCCATCCATCCATCCATTCCATACCGGGATGTTCAACATGTAATATGGGGCTTGGAAAGCAGCACGCGCATCCATAGTTGCCAGCCCCCAGAAGCCCCAGCGTTTGCCTCTAGACCTCTCTCCCTTTCTGCGGTTTCTTGGATCCGTCAGGGAGGCACCGGGGCCACTTCTAGCCAGCTTGTTGCTGGTGCTTTGACGCATGCGCTGTTCATGTCGATGCCACATGGCGACTTTCAGCTAGCTGTCTTCGATGGGTTGTAGAAGGGGGGAAGCGCAAATTCTACAAGCAGGATCGTCCGTTTCGCAACCTCGGTTCGGGAGGCATTTTGTCACTAAATTCCTGTACTGCGGGGTGAATGTGGTGATGGAAGGCATTGCGGCGGAAATGACAGCACTCGCACGAACCACCTCCTACGGCTGGCCCATGCTGGCCCTTTTGCGGTAGGGGGGGCTCCTCAGTTCCAAGAAGCACTTGCATTGGGCGTGTCGTGGGGCTGGTGATCAAGCGTCAACCCCATTCAAACCGGTAAGAACCATGACAACATTTGAGCCATTGCTCGAAAAAGCTGGACTTGCTGAGCAAAAACACGAGCATCGACAGCGTTTCATTCTGTCAAGCACAGGTTTCGTCCCAGTTGAAATCATGGATAATTGCTTCAGTAACATGTGCTAGGTTGTTTTGTTTGTTGGGTACGACCTTGAATATTTTTTTTCCTGAGCATGCCCACTGAACTAGCACCAAGTTGAGCTTTGGCCGGCCTCCAGCTCGGCCAAGTTGCCAACTTTGGGCTGCCCGCAGTCGCTGGGCTGGTGTCGCATGTGGCCGAATTGGCCCCTAGGCCTTTTGGACAACATGACTTGTCCGTTAAACCTGCAGAAGGTCGCAGGATGCTCAGGGAGAGCCACCCGGTTCAAGGGGATGTTCGCTCAGGCCGGTGGATCCCAAGAAGTCCAAGCCAGCGGAGCCGGAGTGGCTGGGGCCGAGGGTGCCATTGCCTCTCAGCCAGAAGCAAGTTAGCTTGTTGCAGGGGAGGCTGGCCCTGTCTGCAGCGTGTGAGGGTTGGACTGGGGGTGATGTGTCGATCTGCCCATTTCTTCATCTTAGTGTTCGGATGGCCAGGGGAACTTCCAGTGACCAGGAAGCTCGTGGGCCAAGTCCACCTGTTTCGGTCTGGGAGTTCAGGCACTCGAGTGGCACCCGATGTCAGGCCGGACAAGCCCAGGCCGGCGGAGTGGCCGGACTGGGCGGAGAGGGAGAGGCGGGGCCGAGAAAGCCGAGGGCCACGCACGAGAGCTCGGCGGGGGAGAAAAAAAAAAGGGGGCAACATGCCGACAAGCTCGCCATGAGCTGGGCGGCATGTTTTGGGAGAGCTTCCTGATTTTGAGGTTGTTCTTGGAGAAAGCAAAGGGAAGGTGGTTCTGGGTGCACCCCCATGAGACAAACCTATGTTCCTTCACTTCAAGACTTGAAGATCCAAGTCTTATGTGCAGAATTTGCAGATCCACAGTTCCAGGATTGTTCCATGTTCCCGGAGGTTCGAGGGATGTTAGGAATACTCCTTGGGCCTTTTTTTGCGTGTGCGGATGGAATTTGCATCGGTAGAATTGGTTGATCCAGCTTCGAGAGGGCAACAAGGGCTTTCAGCAGCCAGGATGGCCTGCCCAAGCTGAAGCACGCAAGGGGATCAATCTCTTGCGGAATTGGATGGCAGGTGGAGTGGCTGTGTGTAAGGCAAAGCATGTAAGCTGCGTTCATTGTATACTTGCGTTGTTTGTTGGTCATTTGTGGCATGTAGTGAAACAATCCGAATGGCAATCACCATAATTGCATGGCTGTGGGTCCAAATGAATGGTACCATTTCGGAGTAGGTGCACCAGCCATTTTTTGTCTATTTCAGTGGGGATGGGGTTCACTGGGGGTACAATTTGGATTTTGATCCATGGCCGCATTGATTTGTTAGCCAGCAGCGTCTCCTGCACTGGCGACAAGCAAAGCGGTTTCAAGTGGCCTTTGGGGCCCATGCCCAAGGCGCTCGACTCCGGTCGCCACGCGCTTAGAAACTGGGCGTTCAGCGGCGCTGGCTTGAGCTGTGCATTTGGCAAAGCAAAGCGATGGGCTCTGTCTTGCAGAAAGCTCCCACAGCTGCAGATTTACATGGAAGATCTGCAGGGGGCTCCGGAAACCTGCGGTTACCCCTCTATTTTTTTTGTCAGGGTGAGTTTCCCGGCAGAAAGCATGTTTGTGCCCTTTTGGGTGGGTGCAATGTACTGTGAAGTCGGGCAAGCATCCCGCGGCAAGTTGATCTTTGAGAAGTGGCAGGGCTGTTTGCCATGCAAAGCCGGCCCTGAGACATGTGTCATTTGTTTTCATTGACCTACTGGAGGCAGTCTGCCCCAAACCTGCCCCCGCCGCCTTTCAGGCACCTACCCCAGTTCAGCTGCCGGACAGCACCGTGCCGGTGGTGGCCGAGTTCCTCCAGCAGCGCATTCCGAAGCTCGGCCCGCCTCGCAGCACGTCACAGGGCCTTTGTGGCCCCTGTGAACTGCAGGATGTTGGGACCGTTCGCATCGGAGGCTCGGAGGCGGGTTCTTGGAAGTTAAGCCCCAGCCAGGCTTTGAGCGTAAGCTGTCGTCAGTCAGCAGTAGGATCAGTGCTTGGTCCAGCTGGATGGCTACTGCTTCAGAGCCAGGACGCACTTGTGAGCATCTGGCACGACCCCCCAGTTTGCGGGTTAACCGGGTTAACTAAACAACACTTAGCTCTTGGGTAATTTGGCCCAAAGAGGCAACCTGTCAACCCCTTTAGACTGCCGCGGGCCCGTGTAGCAGTCTATGGGCCCAGCCTTGGACTTGCAATTCGTCGGGCATATCCACCTGACCGTTGATGTTCCCCTTGGTTGTGAATTCACACCACCCCCCAACCAACGAGCCGCAAGCTGACTTCGGGCCTGGCTGACCGCTGAGCCACTGACCCGCAAGCCCTTGGGCTCGAGAATGGTGACCAAGAATCAAGCAGGGATCCCCTACAGTTTTCCATATTTCTGGACCTCCACCCTGTTCGAACCCTGTCAAGCAGGCTGTTGCCAGCTATGTGGGAGCAGAAGCTGGCTGGAAAACCACAAAGAAGCTGCGCCAGATACGGCCAATTTGTTTCCTAGCAGAGGCGCTCGGCGCTTTGTGGATCATTTGTGCCGATGAATGCGTCCTCATACGTGCACCAGCAGCCACTTGTCAAGAGCAATGCATGTTCGCTGCAGGGTGCGGGGTTCAAAAATCAAATGCCATCTACTCTACACAGGTGCTGCCTTGACTCGCAACCATGGCGGCGAGCCAATGCCGTCGTGCCGCGCGGGGGCCACGCTGGCTGGTCATCTTGGCTGGAGCGGGCGGGTGGGAAGGTCATTTTGAGATGATCTTACACTTGGCACCTCTTTTGACATCATTTTACTTACATTGCAAGGCTCATTTCGTTGTTCGGGATGGTTTCAAAGGGACACCCCAGGGACATTCAAGGGACACCGTTCAGTTTGCGGTTCCCACGTTTTGAGGCACACGCAGGGGACGTGCAGCAAAAGCAGAACCAGCTGGAGCGATTGTTCGGTCCAACCCGCCACTCGCAGGTTGCTGCGTTCAGCCTTGCTTCGTGAACTCGCACCTTGCCTCATGGAATCCGGACCCAATTGCTGGCTGAGGAGCTGGGGTATCCGAAAATTTTGCTTAGGAGGGAATGCAGAATTACAAAGAAAGTCCACATTGGTGGGACTGGTTTTTATAATTATTCCCATGCATCCCTCACGAGCCCTCTGCCTAATGGGTTTCAGGCAACGATGGGGCATTTGTCGAGCCGCATCATGGGACTTGCGTTTTGGACGGTGTTTCAGATCACCACTTGAGCACGTGTCAAAATAGGAGGCCATTTGGCTGCCTAAACAGGGTACCCTCAAAAACTTCATTTTGTTTGCCATTTCGAGGTGGGATCCCCTTGGCAGGGTGATGCAATTACGACAGGAACCCCCAGCTGCCGGGACCTGGTGGTGCCAAACTTTGGAGTCAACATCTGAGCTTG